ATCAAGTACTACAACTTGAGGGTGAAGCCTCGTTCCTTCTTACCCGGGGACCTAGTTCTTAAAATATCATTCTACACTCCCGAGAAGGAAAATTGGGGCCTAATTAGGAAGGACCATATACAGTCCCGGAGGTGATGAGGTCGGACACCTACAAAATCTAGAATTTCGAAGGAAAAGTCCTATCCCATCCATGAAATGCTGAACATCTAAAGAAATATTACTAGTAGCTGGGGACAGTGAGTTATAAGTAGGTAAAAAATATGTGAATTATTTACCTTTTATTTTGGTCAACTTCTTTCAAGTGTTTACTTTGAATTATGGAATAAAATTCGCAATATTTTCTCAAAAAATTTGTATTTTCATTCAAACTTTATGAAACCTTTGCAAAAAGATAGAATACAATCTATCAATAAAAAATACAAAAGTACCATGTCGCTATCGACACTCACTACCTCCGTTCCCATCGCTCGCGTCCTCCTCGTCGGTCTTAGGAGCCTCATAAGACTAAAAGACAAAAAAATCATAAGCAAGGAATGCCACTGAAACCTTCCTTCTAAGCTCATCATAGCCGTCAATGAAGGCATTTGCCTTAGCCCTCTCAACAATATCCCTCATCCTCTCCATCTCCACAGAGTGATCCTCTACCCTAGTAGCTCTCTCAAGTTCTACTCAAAGGTCAGTCTCTAGATGGACAGCCCTCTCATGCGCTAGCCTCAACTGCTCAGCGGTATCCTCTTGTGCCTGTCGTGCAAGCTCCGCGGCATCCTTTTGTGCCTGTCACTCAAGTCTTAACTACTCTTCAATAGTCTCATGTGCTCACCTCTTTGCTGCCTGACCATTGATGGCCTCCTTGATACTCAGTGTACTTGTAAACAAGTAGGGCAAAGCAGCGACCATCTGCATGCATTCAAAAGTAACATATAAAATAGAAAGGTCAGGAACAAAGCCAAAGAAAAAAGTGTAGGACCTACCAAGGTGAAACCCTCCATAGCAGCATCAACAACACCCTCAGGGCCTCGAGTGGCACCTTCCTGAACTTCCTTGTGGGTCACAAAACCCCAAAGTCTCTCCCTGTCCAACCTCACGTCCTGCAGCATAGATACTGTGTCACCACCCAAAAAAGAACAACTAGGTGGACCCTCTGTCCTGATGGGAGACCGTGCTAGAGCCTCATCCTCTATAGTAGTGCTGGGACCGTCTCGGAGGGGTGAGGAGACTTCAATCGAAGAAGGACGAGGTTCATCACCCAGCTCTGCCTCTCTGAGACAAGCCTGACCGGCAGACCCTGGCTGAGCAAAATTAGGGGCACTAGACTTCGCCCTCTTGAAAAGAGGAGGGGAAGATGCCACCCTAGAAGTGTATACCGACTCCACCACCAACCTATCAATGGGGGTACTAATTCATGCGTAAATTTAACAATTTTTACTATCCCTTTTTGGACTAATTGTGCTTTGATGGAGTTTAAGTAATGACATTTCAGGTCCTAAAGAGAACAAAGGCTCAAGAACAACAAAAATTACACTTGAATGTAACACCAGCACAATAAGGAGCAAAATTGTAGAAGGTTAAAACAAAGCAAGAACGTTCGAACGTTAACCCATATTTGAACGTCCTCTGAAATCCTGTCAAGACCAGCTGTTGAGACATGACATGTTGCAGTCAACAAACGAAAAATGCTGAGGTACTTGAGTACCACGTTCGAACGCTAACTCACGTTCGAACGTCCTCTGGAATCCTGAGTAGACTACACCACTGGAACCTGACATGTTGCAGTAAATAAAGAAGAACCAGAAGTACTTGAGTACAACGTTCGAACGCCATTCCACGTTCGAACGTTGTCTTGAGTGACTGAGGACCAAGTTGCTGAGTGTAAAGTCAAAGTTGTTCAAGACGTATGGAAGTGACCAAGTCAGAGACCACAGGCCACTTGAGTGGAAGGAAACAGACCCTATTTGGCGTTCGAACGCCCTTAAAGCAAAGATACAGACAACGTTCAAACGACATCTCACGTTCTAACATCCTTAAAGAAAAGACAGACTTAACGTTCGAACACTAGATCACGTTCGAACGTCCTCTGCAGACTGTCTGCAGAGTAGTNTCTCACGTTCTAACATCCTTAAAGAAAAGACAGACTTAACGTTCGAACACTAGATCACGTTCGAACGTCCTCTGCAGACTGTCTGCAGAGTAGTTGATTTCCATGGGCGGCAAATACTATTCACTCATCCTCTTTTATCTCCTACCCCTTCCCTTTCCTTGCCTATAAATACTCCCATGTTGGGAGCTTAAAAGACATTCTTCCTCTTGTAGAGAAAAGGGGGAGCAATCCTTGTTCTTGTAGAATAAGAGTGTTTTAGTAATCTTGTTCTTGAATATTTCATGTTTATGTTTTCATTTTGCATTTATATCAACCATGATGGAGGCTTAGACTCCCTTTGTAGTTGAAGTCTTTTATTTACTTATGCTAAGTCTTTACATTCATGTTGTGACAACCATGATGGAGGCTTAGACTCCCCTTGTAGTTGTACTTGCTTTTATTTACAAAGTATCAAGAGGGATAGTTCATCTTTTGGTTATGGTGGAAACCCTCCAAAAGTAACTACCTTTCTTTTACTTTTATTGTTCATGTATTTCACTTTCATTATTTGAGTATCCTTCTTTCTTAGAAAAGTAAAACTCTTCCACTTTTCTAGAACTTTACCAAAGCCGTGAAGGGTGGAAAGTGATTCACTTATTTTTCATTGAAGATAAACTCTTGTTTAGTTTGTTTCATTTAGTAGCTTCNGGTGGAAACCCTCCAAAAGTAACTACCTTTTTTTTACTTTTATTGTTCATGTATTTTACTTTCATTATTTGAGTATCCTTCTTTCTTAGAAAAGTAAAACTCTTCCACTTTTCTAGAACTTTACCAAAGCCGTGAAGAGTGGAAAGTGATTCACTTATTTTTCATTGAAGATAAACTCTTGTTTAGTTTGTTTCATTTAGTAGCTCCTCTACTTAGAGGGATGAGTAACACTCACTTTTCTAGATTTGCCATGGCCATAAAAAGTGAGTAGTTCCTCATTCACTCTTTAATAAGAGGTGATGAATATGCAAAGATTATCCGAAAGTTATGTTTGTGAAACTTCTTCATGCTTTAATGCTTTATACTCCACTTGTTCGTTGGATGATTGAATGTATCTAGCAAAGTTGAGGTACTTTGTATAACCAAGGGCTCCCTCTATGATACGGATGACTAATGCATAGAAAGACCCATTGGTTCAAGGCAAGTACCCCGGCNTTAATGCTTTATACTCCACTTGTTCGTTGGATGATTGAATGTATCTAGCAAAGTTGAGGTACTTTGTATAACCAAGGGCTCCCTCTATGATACGGATGACTCATGCATAGAAAGACCCATTGGTTCAAGGCAAGTACCCCGACTAGCTCTTCATGACAATATTTCAATCTCCACCATTATTGCGCTTTATTCAAAGAATGAATCATTAATGCCATGGTTGGATGCCTTGTAGAAACACTTACTTTTTTTGTAGACAGGTTAAGTCTCGGCACAAACAATTATTGTAAACTTCTAGAAAGACATCAGAATCATGTGCTTAATTCTCACCGTCCATCTTTATCTTCTGATTAACTTGTTGTTGACACGGGAGTTAATTGAGTTATAAAACACAAACATAATAAACCGGATAGTCTATTACATGTCTTGATCCTGGAGCTAAAGGGTGGCTGTTACATTTTGAGAATCTTATATTTTGTCTAGAAAACTCTTAAAAAGAATCTTCTATTCTATTTGAGAAACTCCATCACTTCAAACTCTCGAAATTTTCAATTACTGGTCTTTATTATTGCTTACTTCAAAACACCAATCATAGTTCCCTGTGGATTCGACTCTGAACTAAACCGGATTATTACTACAGCTTGATCGCCCGCACTTGAGTGTACACATTTTGGATCAAGTCAGGTACCTGTAGAATCATAGTGAGACAAAAGCCTACAATATGGTGTCTACGAAGAGTCTGCTGAAGGAGTTAAGTACCTTTCCTCCTTGGCCCCGGAGAGGCCTTGGGATGATCAGACACCTCCATAATCCCGGAGAACTCCTTAAATGGATGATCACTTACCATCTGGAGCCTAATCTCCTATTTCGCAAATAAAGTCGGCGAAACTACAAAATGCAGTGGCACTATGAAAACCAATACATGATAACTAGAACAAAAGTTAAAAGAAGAGCCCTTACCTTACTTGGTCTTTAGTACCGTATCCCATCTGGTGGGCACCAGGTCACGATTAGAATCAATAGCCCACTCTCCTTCGGCAAAGAAGAACTTAGTCTTCCAATTGTGATGATTTGATGTAAGCCCAGTAATTAATCTACCCGACCGTGGGGAAAAACTGTACTACCCTTGGTGCGGAGCAGGGTTCTCTAAGAGCACGAACATGGCCAAGAACTCCTCGAATGGTGGAGGAATAGTAGCATCGTGCTCTAACTGCCACAATGCAAAAAATGTCAATATCACTCTCCACCCATTCGAGGCCAACCTCTCGAGAACCAACGACAGGTGCCCCAGAACCCGACATATATGCTGGGGTATCAGAAATCGCAAGCCTACCTCCAATATACCCTCATAGAGGACGATCTTGTCAAAAAATTGTAGCATGCTAACTCGTTGGCCTTAGCATGTCGATACGTTATGGAGGGAGGAGTGTGATACATAGAAACAATGGTTGTGATACCCTCATTGCGGGCGAGGGAGCTAAGTATGGAGGCTACTCTAGAGCTGTTGTCCCCATTGGCCCCCAGGTCTCGTTCGGGGTCCGAAAGAACGCTTGCCAAAGCAAAATCAAGACCGAGCTAGAAAAGTACCCATACCAGCAGAAGAGTAAAAATGAACACCAAGAAACATACCTCGAGAGCTCGTTGCATCCAAGTCATTGATCTACTGCTTCCTGGCACTACCCACGATGCCACTAGACTTGCCTGCACATTTTTTGGAGCCCCATCACCCCAAGTTACCACCATGGTCTGGAGGAAGAAACTCAGCAACTTGGGTAGCGTTTCCAACATTGGCCTTGTAAAGGGAGGCCTGGATTGCGCCTAGGGAGCTGTCTGACAATACATAGGCGCCGCCCGGAGTGCGGTTAGTGCCACCCAATGCACGACAGACGTCGTCTATCTCTCCTGAGGCACCTCCCTTGCATCGGTCTTCCTCTTGCTCTCTCTCCTTCATGCGGGCGCCGACTGCCAAGTTTTCACTGACGCCACTTTCTGCACCTTGTCCCAAGGCATCACCTGAGGGTAGGAGTTGTACCCACGGCGGGTAATACGGAGGTTGTATCCGTGGCGGGTCTGCACTTCCACCATGGGCACCAACCCCATCAAGACCCAATCCATGTTTCTTTGAGCTTCTAGTCTCCATNATTATGCCTCCAACATAGGCACCGCCCATTGCACTTCCACCATGGGCACCAACCCCATCAAGACCCAATCCATGTTTCTTTGAGCTTCTAGTCTCCCTAGGTCTCTTATAATTTGAGAAAGGGAAAACTAAGGAAGAGATATGAGAGATGAACAGTAACCACTTGAAGAGGCCTTTAATTAGAGGAAGAATGGCTTCTTGAGGAAGCCTTGTCAAAAAGCTTATTGGAGAAGCTTGAAGGGATAGGTTCTTGGAGAAGCTTGGAGGGATAACTTCTAAGGGAAGCCTCCAAAAAATAAGAAATGAAAAGACGAATGAGGATGAAGAGACCAAGGATCACTATTTATAGACGAAGACCCGACAAGAGCAAAAAAAAAAAAAAATTTACATATTCGATATCGATAAATTCAACAGAGTCCCTGAAGATGAAAGAGCACCGTGGGGAGCAAGAAAACTCTTGTTCAAGTGAAGAAGAAACATATACCCTCAACTCTCACAAAAAGTCAGAGGCTTGGGGCATGTGAGGTAAATGATGAGCCTGAAATTAATTAGGCTAGACCCAATAAATCAATAGGGGCCTACGTCACCAGAACTCGAAAAAGGCCCAAGTCATCAAGGAGGAGCTTAAGCCATCAAGGAGGAACCCAAGTCATCAAGAGGGACACCCCCAAAGGGCGCCACCCAAGGAGGCCACCCCAAGGGGACCCCTGCTTTCCTTTGTTCTCTTCTCTTTGCCACTCCAACTCAAGTCCAACCCAGTTCAGGATCTTCCTCCAACGGTATAGGAGCAAGAGGAAGAGAATATCGGGATACGCTCGGAGATCTGATATTACCTTATTTGTAATTACCAAAATAATAGAAACCCCCTCTCTCATGTCACCGCCTTACTAAACATATATAATGTAAGCCCTCTTCGCATAAAGCGCATGACCTTATCACCTTGAAACCTCTACACATCTTTCTACGCACATTGCTCCTCTCTCTAAATGCATCATAATTCACCTGGAGAATACTCTCTCGGTGACTTTTATTCATCAATAACGAATACCAGCCACCGCTTCCATTCCCGAGAGTGGAGTAGGTCACTCAGACTGAACTACGATAAATCTTGACTCTTATTTACCGTTCTGCCATTGATCATCTTATTTATTGCTCATTAATTGCACATTATATATTCTGAATTGTTGATTTTGTGCAATACCGATTTGTGCATCATCAGATGGTGATCACTAAAATTGGTAATGGTTGTGGGGGTTGTCTTATTATCTCCTAAACCCATTTTCGCCACAAAATGAAATATCATATCGATAGATTTTTCAATCGAAAAACGTATTAGATCTAAACTAGTGCCAACGTCTTCTTCCTTGGCTGTAATTTTACTTCCATTATCTCTGAAATTTCCATAAAAAGGAGGAGTGTCAATAAGTGCATTGGCAAGTAATGAAAAATAGAAAACGATAATGTACTGGGAATACAAGAAGACAAAAGGATGAACCTTGTGTTTGATTTTGTGTTCTTTAAATGGACACAATATCTGCATTGGGCAAAAGAATAAAACCAGTTCGGTGGATTCATGTCCATATCGCAGAAGACGCAGACGGATTTGAAATCAGAAAATCGTCGTGGAACAGAATAGGCAAGCGTGAGAAGATGCTCGTGATCATCAAGTGCAAGAACTCTTAGTGACAAAGCACAAGTCACGTGGATCCAGAAATCACATGGGATGCATACATAGGATTCTTCTTTAGCCTTCATGCCGTAGGCATCACAATGAAACAAGGATGGCCTCCGTAACATGGTCAAATAGTGCATGTGACTTGGGTGTTTCGATGGTGCCCACGAAGGCACAAGATTAGCAGACGTTGAACACGCACAAATAACAATCATAGGTGAAAATTTTTCTCCTTTTTCCACAGACATTACACAAGCAAGCCGAAGATGGATAAGGTGGTTTTCCATGGAGGGTGAGAGGGTGTTGGGAGTGTTTGGGGTGGAAAATTTCTCGAGGTAGGTCAGCACATCTTTTGTGCATGCTGAAAAACTTGCACGTACCGCAATGATAGATATTAGAGACTTCACCTTCGAAAAGTTTGCCACACCCCCTGCAACCATCAACCGCCGGATTATAACAATCCAAGAACTGGAGGGGATGTGGATGGAGATGACTAAGCAGTCTCTCAGATGGCGACTTCTCGATTGCCATTGATGAGAGAGTGATAACTTTCAAGACCCTCTCACCTCCCCCCTCCTTATTTTTTAATCTCTTGTAAACTTTTAATTCACTCTCTTGATATACATTACTTGAAGTTAGAACTATGCGGTGGATCTTAAATGTTTCATTCTTCACTCCTCCCGCGCAAGAAAGAGGGAGGATGCCCTTTTACCACAATTTGCTTTTTAATCTTAATAATAGTTAAGATTATTTTTGACTTGCTTTATTACTATCTATGACTAGCTTTATAATCACTTCACATGTGGCATATTCTCCTTCTTTCTTTGAATAAAAATAAAGAATTTTTTTTTACTTATTTCTCTCACTTGCTTTTATATATTCTTTCTTTTCTTTTTCTTGAATTTATTCTCACTCTAATTTATTCCCACGCAGCTTCGTTATTCTCCCCCAGCACACTCAAACACTACCCTATTTCTCCTCTGCTGCTTTTCTCATTCTGTCACTTTATCTCTTCAGTTTCCTTGTCTGTTGTAATTGGACAAATCGAATTGAACAACCAATTAGTTCGAATTTTTAAGAAAATGTTACATAATCTAAATGAAATCTAAAAATTAAAATTTAAATGCATATCATCTCTTAAATGAGTGTGAAATGAGTGAGTCTTATTAAAAAAATTGATTGGACCCACTTATTCAAAAAATGATATACATTTGAGTTGCAATTTTTTAGGTTTCATTTTGGATTTTATAGTATTACTCTTTTTAATTCGCATTATATTCTGTGTTTAATCAGAATTTAATATAGTTTTGGGATTGAATGGTTGGAGTAGGGTGTTTTATAGCTTAAGTATAGCCTAATTATAACACTTAATGTGTGTTATCCATCTGACTTGCACTCAGGGTGACTTAGATTGCTTGATATATCCATGCTAGTAGGGAAGGAAATACAACATTGGTTTCGAGCTGCCCTTCTTTTTTTTTAATATGGAAACTAGATCAAAGTCAGTCCCCTACGTAAACGGACGTAGGGTCTTTCACCTTTTCACATAAACAAAACTAGACCCCTAGGATAAGGGACAATGACCCACTCTATTCCTGACTTAAGGAAGCCCTCGGGGAATCCTTCAAGCCACCATGTTTAAAATCTTAAACTCCTGTTGAAGTCGGATTACACAAATTTACTTTCAAATTTGAGTTCTATTAGAGTTTAATTCCTGGATTAGACAATTAGGTGAAATTCATATTCGATTCGCATTGAACTGGAATTTGAAATTTTGGGTTGTACAATTTGAGCTTAAATTCAAGTTCAATTTAATTTGAAACCAAATTTAATAATAGCCAAATTCGAATTCCGTTTGGATTGGTTTGATCTAGGTCTAGAAAACTAGAGACCCTAATCTTAGTGTTGTCCACATTCAAATGGGTGTAAGATTTTTTTTAGTAATGCCCAATCTAAATATTAAAAATCTTTGTCTAAATATTGAATATTTTGGGTTGTGCTCGGATTAACTCGCACTACTTGCATCCCTAGTCCTAGACCATAAATTTTTCTCTCTTCAAAATTTGATTCCGTCGTCATGTATCGAAAATCTGCTTTCCCTTCCACTGCTGCATTTTTGTACCATTTACTAACTATATCAGTACATATTTGAAAGCCTTCTTTCTTTTCTTCTTTTCTTTTTTTTCTTGCAATCAGTTTGCTATGGATATTGTCAATTATTGGGCTAATCTCAACATACATTCCGAAAAATTACTTGAATCTCAATTTATACCCTCAAAGTTTAAAAATATTATTTTACACCCTAAATGACATAAATTTGTATTAATGTGCACCGGAGGTTAACTGTCATCCATTTTCTTGTTAAAAAAGTTTGGGATAGTTATAAATTACACATTCAAAGTATAAATAATTCACATTTATGGTTAAAAAAGAATTACATCATTAATACTCGTTAAATACTTCTCAATTGTGTTGTATCATGTTATTTTGTGTCATATTGTATCATTTTCGTGTTGTGTTTGNTATTAATACTCGTTAAATACTTCTCAATTGTGTCGTATCATGTTATTTTGTGTCATGTTGTATCATTTTTGTGTTGTGTTCGAGTTGATAAAAAAATATTATTAACACAAAATATTTTCGTGTTGAGTTAATTGCGTTGTGTCGTATATTTCACATATATGACAATTTATATAATACTATTTAATTTTTTTTTAAAAAATTATAAAAATATCTATTTTTTTTTACCTTCAATACTCGTTAATTAGTTTTAGTCTACAGTTGTGTAATTCATATTTAACTTTAATTTTATTGAACAATCAAAAAATTTGTGTTTAACTGTTGACAGAAAATAGCTAGAACCCAATGAAGTCAAATTATGGCTAAATATGATCAAAATTATTGCTCAATAAAGTCAAAAAATCTGTGACTTCCATAAAGCTTGGGATCAATTCCAATTTCTTGGATGGATCTCAAGTTTTTTTGGATCGACCCTAGCTCGACATCATTGAATTGTAATTTGATATATTTGTCTTGTAACTTGATATAAATGAGTTATAACCTTGTGACGATACTAAAAAAGCTATCGCACAAATTCCCGTCTAACCAATAATTTCTATGATTTTTCAATGGTTTGAAGTCTTTTCTTTGTCTGAAAACATTGCGCTTCACTTACAACCTGCCTTATTGACCTAGTCTAGCAATCTAAATATATAATGAATGACATCACAGGAAACTATTTTTAAGATATGAACTTTAACCCTCAACTTCATAAATAAACTCAAAAAAAAAAAAAGTTGAACCAGCCCCTTTCAAATTTTCATATCTTCAAGAAAAAATTGAAACCACATTACAAAAATGCTACTTTTCTGCAACCTAGACTTTGGGAGAAAAAAAAAGTCTCTTGTTCTCTGTGAAAGAAAAGAGTAGAAAGCACATATCAATTTATATTGCTTTGGTGTGATCTATATTATGCATGAGGAGATGTATTTATAGTATAAGAGAGTAGTGAGATTTTCTAGTATAACTGACATGGGACAAATATATTATTATTATATACATTGACATCCCCCCTCAAACTCAAGGAGGTAAAGTAGAAATCAACTTCAGTTTAGAAACCAAATCATGAAATCGGCTCGACGGATGTGTCTTGGTGAAGCTGTCAGCAATTTAGTTAGATGAAGAAACACAGAGAAGATGAATTGTGCCTTGAGCCACATGTTATCGTACCAAATGACAGTCAATGTTAATATATTTGGTGCGATCATGGAAAACATAATTGTAAGCAATCTGTATGGCAATCTGATTGTCACAATAAAGAATAGTAGCACTAGAATGAGACACCAAAATCTTCTAAGAGCTAACGAAGCCAAAAAACCTCCTAGGTAGTGTCAGTAAGAGCACGATACTCTACTTTTGTACTAGATCAAGAGATAACATAATGTTTCTTGTCGCACCAAGAGATAAGAGAGTCGCCCAAAAAGAAAAAATAACAAGTTATAGAACGACGATCAGTAGGATCTTCTGCCCAATTAGCATCATAATAGGTGAATAGCTAGAGAGATAAGTGAAAAGAGGAATGAANACTAGATCAAGAGATAACATAATGTTTCTTGTCGCACCAAGAGATAAGAGAGTCGCCCAAAAAGAAAAAATAACAAGTGATAGAACGATGATCAATAGGATCTTCTGCCCAATTAGTATCATAATAGGTGCGTAGCTCGAGAGATAAGTGAAAAGAGGAATGAAGACCATGAAACATATTACCCTTAATATATCGTAGAATACGAAGAGCAGTAGCATAATGATTGAGCGAGGGGTAGTCAAAAATTGGTTAATTAGATGAACAACATAGGCTATATCTGGGCAAGTAACAGTGAGATACACAAAACTATCNGTGAAAAGAGGAATACAGACCATGAAACATATTACCCTTAATATATCGTAGAATACGAAGAGCAGTAGCATAATGATTGAGCGAGGGGTAGTCAAAAATTGGTTAACTAGATGAACAACATAGGCTATATCTGGGCAAGTAACAGTGAGATACACAAAACTATCTACCAACTGACGATAAAGAGTGGCATCAGGGAAATGTGTGTCATCTAAGGGAGTAAGTCGAACATTTTTCTCTAATGGGGTAGGTACAATCTTGTAATCAGTGAGTCCAGCATGAGAAAGAAGATCAAAGGCATACTTGACCTGAGAGAGATAATACCCACTAGAGTCAGATGAGATCTCAAGGTCCAAGAAGTAGTTGAAAGAACTAAGATCCTTTATCTCAAAGTTTGTGTGGTGATAATGTTTGAGACTAGAAATACTAGAAACATCATCTCTAGTGATAATCATATCATCAACATAGAGAAGTAGTAGAATAGTGCCACACTCAGACTTAAGAACAAAGAGAGCTAAATCATAAGGGCTGGAAGAGAAACCAAAATCTTTAATGGTAGCACTAAATTTTGCAAACCATGCTCTAAGGGCTTGCTTGAGGCCATATAGTGCACAACAAAATCTACAAACCTGATATGGTGAATGAGGATAGCCCCTATGTCAGGGAACCATGAGTTGTCTTGGGTTCTCTCAGTTTTTTCAACAACTAGAGCATGATTGAGAATTTCAAGTTGATAGGCTTGATTAGACCTATGCCAACATTCAATAGCTGTGTGTCGAGGTTTGCCACAAATCTGGCAAACCACACTTTCTTCTTTCTCACTATTGTTTTGACCTGCACTCCTCAAGATTGATATGTAGCTAGAATCATTCTCTACTTCATTCTGAATCGATTTGTGGTTTCCCTGACCTGCTTGATGGAACCCACGACCCTTGGAATTAAACCACTTGACCTGTTGCTTGGCATACTTGCTGCCATTTTTATTTTGTAGTTGATGACTGAAAAATGCAATATTTTGGTTTGGATTGACAAAACCAGTGGTGTTGT